CTCCCGGTTCTCTCTTTGTCCCTCTCTCTCTGTCCGGTTCTCTCTCTCAGTCTCTCTCTGTCTCTGTCTCTCTGTCTCTCTCTCTCTCTTTCTTTCTGTCTCTCTCTCTGTCTGTCTCTCTCTCTCTGTCTTTCTCTGTCTGTCTCTGTCTCTCGCTCTCTGTCTCTCTCTCTGTCTCTGTCTCTGTCTCTCTCTGTCTGTCTGTCTCTCTCTCTCTGTCTCTCTGTCTCTGTCTCTCTCTTTCTTTCTCTCTCTCTCTCTGTCTGTCTCTCTCTCTCTCTGTCTTTCTCTGTCTGTCTCTGTCTGTCTCTGTCTCTCGCTCTCTGTCTCTCTCTCTGTCTCTGTCTCTGTCTCTCTCTGTCTGTCTGTCTCTCTCTGTCTCTCTGTCTCTGTCTCTGTGTCTTTCTCTCTCCTGAAATTACGCTCCTGTAAATTAGAGGCTTTATTAATGGCCGAATGTCCTTGAACTGTTAAAATATATTTTTGGTTTTAAAAATCACACTAAGCCACCTCAGTAGTTCAGGTGAGTAACTGCATCTGTTTTCCCCAGCGAGTATTTTACAGGCAGATCAAAGCCCAGAGATTTTAGCTATTAGCGCCTTTACTGTGTTGAGGTTGTACAGGACGTTGGTGAGGCCTCTTCTGGGGCACTGTGTCCAGTTCTGTTACAGGGAGGATATTATTAAATTGGAAAGGGTTCGAGAGAGATTTACCAGGATGTTGCCAGGAATGGAGGGTTTGAGTTATGAGGAGAGGCTGGGACCTTTTTCGCTGGACCGTAGGAGGTTGAGGGGTGATCTTATAGAGGTTTATAAAATCATGAGGCATATGGATAAAGTTAATGGCTTTTCCCTAGGGTGGGGGATTTCAAGACTTTTTTAAGCACATTTTTAAGGTGAGAGGAGAAAGATTTAAAAAAGACATGAGGGGGAAATTTTTTTTACACAGAGAGTGGTTCTTGTGTGGAATGAACTTCCAGAGGAAGTGGTGGATGTGGGTACAGTTACAACGTTTAAAACACATTTGGGATAAGTACACGAATAGGAAAGGTTTGGAGGGATATGGGCCAGGAGCAGGCAGGTGGAACTAGTTTAGTTTGGGATTATGTTCGGTGTGGACTGGTTGGGCCGAAGGGTCTGCTTCGGTGCTGTATGTCTCTGTGATTATAACACTGTGTAATAAATCAAAGTGACACCTCTCACATCGGTGTTTCTAGAGTTAGAAGTAATTAAGTCCCACTCTCTACCCCCTAGAGGAGTCAAGGGGCAGCAGATACATGGGGACACCAGCCCCCTGCAAGTTCCCCTCTGAGCCCCCCGCATCATCCCAACTTGGAAATATATCGGCCGTTCCTTCAGGGTCAAAATCCTGGAATTCCCTCCCTAAGGGGCACTGTGTCCGTACACCACACGGGGGGAGGGGGATCCACAGCGGTTCAAGATGGTCACCCCCACCTTCTCAAGGGGTAACTGTGGGATGTGCCACATGTACTGGCCTAGCCAATGAGGCACGTGTGGCGTGAATGAGGGAGCCATACTGAGGGAGCGGGCGCTGTCGGAGGGTCAGCGCTGAGGGAGCGGGCGCTGTCGGAGGGTCAGCGCTGAGGGAGCGGGCGCTGTGGGAGGGTCGGCGCCGATAGAATGGGCGCTGTCAGAGGGTCAGCGCTGAGGGAGCAGGCGCTGCCGGAGGGTCGGCGCCGATGGACCAAAAGGCACATGGTTGGCTGGTGGCTTTTGCGGGATCTTGCTGTTCACGAGAGATGAGAACCGGGCTTGCGTTCCATGCCTCTGAGTGCCGAGGGGTTGGGGGGGGTCTGAAACTCCCAATTATTCTGGCGACTGAATCTCTTCTCCTCCTGTGCACCCCCCCCGACCTCGCTCTAGGT